ATTCCGAAAATTAAAAAGGGGTCATAATTCCGGAGGCTCTTAATCCCGAAAATGACACATTCAAGTCTCATAATTCCGAGAATAAAAAAAGGGTTCATATTCAGAAGATTCGTAATTCTGAAAAACGATAAAGGGGTTATTTGGATTTACGAACCTTTCGAAAAAAAACACAAAATGTATCCTTGATCATTACCCTTGGATATGCTCTTGAATTAATGTTAATGATAATCTATACTCATATTTATTTTGATGGACGAAAATATATTGTTCAGTAATTGAATTTAATTGACATCCGGCCTTGGCCATGGAATTAAGTGAATACGATCCTGATTGCAATCAAATCCAGACAGCTTAAAATAAATAATGTCTAGAAAAGGCTGTTGTTTTCTGTGTTTCTGTTTTCTGTGTTTCTGGTTTCAAGGTTATTTCATTGGTCCATGCATGCTAATATCTCGAATATTTCGAATATATTAATGATTTAACCGGTGTTCATGCTCACACCCACCTTCAATGATGTATAATACCTAACAGTTGTATCATTATATATTTGTTAAATCATTTATTTCAATTCAATTTCAATTAAATTCAATTTATTTATGTTTCCAACAGAACATTACAAATCAATTATAAACATTTACAACAGTTTTTATGGCCCATTGATGGTGGTGGTTATTTTATCTGACTGCTAAGAAAGCATAAATGCTTGTAAGTAAGCAACCAGACGGCCGACGGCTTTTGGTCCTCTCCGAGGAACCTATAGCTGGTAATGAGGATTAATGCCTTACCAAAGGGCACTAGCGCATCGACTTGGTTTCGAACCCGAGCCACCGGATTTACGAGACCACTCTAATGTATTTATTAGTTAGCAGATACAAACCAACACTGGCGTACTGGTGGGGGGGGGGGGCGCCAGCCCCCCCCCCCCAAATAAAATTGAACCATGACTTATTTTCAATTCCATATAAAGTGATGTATAAATTTTCGTGATATCACATGATTTTCAACAAAATGCACGTTTCTCCATTTCTGTTACAAACTGACACATTCCCAAATGGCCATCAGGAAGAGCATATTTTGTTTTATAGTCACTAAGGGGCCGTGGCCACTGACAGTAATACTAGTAAAACAATCCTTTCCATAAGCAACTGTGACAAGCAATGCCGGGCGTTCCATACTTAAATCATGTAACACTGCACATGGACCGTTAAGGGGCCCAGTGGGGAAATTGAATTCAGACAAGATTAAGAGTAGTGAACGGTACAACGATTCGTCTTCTTTCTTTAATAATTTAATGAAACGGCAAAGTTTCTGCGCTTCGGTGGGGGGGGGGGGGACAACTGAATTCAGACTAGGATTAAGAGTCGAGAACGGTACAACGAATCGTCTTCCTTCTTTAATAATTTAATGAAGTGTCAAAGCTTCCGCGCTTTGCGCGGGAGGGGGGGGGGGGAACTGAATTCAGATAAGACCACGATACACCGAATCGTCTTCTTTCTCTGATAACTTAATTAAACGTGAAAGCTTCTGCGCTTCGCGCGGGATGGTCGAATATGAATTCAGACAAGGATTGAGAGTAATAGTTTAATGAAACGTCAGAGTTTCCGCGCTTCGCGCGAGATGGGAGGAAATAAATTCACACAATAATTAAGAGTCGGAACCGGTACAATAAATCGTCTTCTTTCTCTCATTATTTAATGAAGTGTCAAAGCTTCCGCGCTTTGCGCGGGATGGGCGAAAATGAATTCAGACAAGGATTAAGAGTAAAGATTTATTGAAACGGTAAAGCTTCCGCGCTTTGCGCGGGATGGGCGAAAATGGTGTCTGACAAGGATTAAGAGCAATAATTTATTGAAACGTCAAAACTGCCGCGCTTCGCTCGGGAGGGGGGGGGGGAACTGGACCCAAACAAGAATTAAGAGTCGAGAACGGTACAACAGATCGTCTTATTTCTCTAATAATTTAATGAAGTGTCAAAGTTTCCGCGCTTCGCGCGGGAGGGGGGAGACTGAAAAATAACTTAGTTCTTGGCCCCGGGCCTTTATAGGGTTAAATTTGTAGACATTTGGACATTGGCATTAATAATTTGTCGGTAACTGGTTGCTCGTTTTGTCGGTAATCGGTGGCCTCTACACCCTCCCACTCTTCCACTGACAACGATCTAGCGATGCCCCTGACGGCCTTGAACCATAATGCATGGCCCTACAGAGGAATTTTTCCTGTTGGGGACTGGGAGGAAATGCAATGAATTATTGAAAATGTATTGCATTTTCTTTGTTTTTTGTTTTTGTGGGGGTCGTCGACGTACCCTAGCGCCCGTTGCGTACAGTCATGATTTATTGGCTAAGAATTGGCCTCGTTACTGTGAGCCCCCAGGATCAAAACCGTGTCGATGTGCTATATTAGTTCCCTTTTATGAGGCATTAATCCCCATTACTGTCAGTTATGACTTAAGGACGTAGGTCCCCTAGTTGATTAGCATAGTAGCACACACATGATTTAGCAGTCAAGCAAAACAAACACTCTCCAATTGTCCTTCGATAAAATATTCGATCTATTAGGAATAAATCATTGTTAAAATCATTCAATAAATTGGGGTAAAAATAATTATTCCACCATTATGACCAACAGTGTAATATATTCAGCTTTCGCAAAAACATGACAAAACGTTTCCAAGGAAGCGACAAAATATTAATATTTTCGCATCTTTCTTGACATCAGATGGCTTAAAATTTGATTACATTTTCGTATGCATTGCTATGATAATGGTCCTGGCGGTCACATCTACTATTGGTATGGCCAGCAGGGTTACGATCATACATGTGGTTTCCGATAGCTCACGGTCCTATCAACATACAAAAACACCATCAATGCGCAGACACTATCTTCTGTTGTTTAATATTGAATGATTATAGAATGCCCCATGCTTTTCACAACAAAAATAACAATTTATAGTGCTTTTCACAGCAACAAACCATACGGGCTGCTCAATGATGTATTGTCCCCCACTTTCAAAATTTCAATATCAACGGATCTCTTATTACCATAATCAGAGCACTGGCGGTCAAACCCGTCAGCAAAACAGTGCCAATTGAGGAGGGTAGATTTTGCTACACTTCTATTATAATAACTTGTTTCAAATAATTGTTATTGTCAGCAGTGGCGTAATGAGCGAAAACGTTGGGGGGGGGGGGGGCTGACAAAAAGTCCGCATCACCCCACTCTTACATGCAGGCCCCGCTGAACGTTTTTCAAAGTGGGGTCTAAGGGCAAAGCCCCGGCGGGGGTCAAGGGGCGGGGCACCCGAAGCTCAAGGGGTATGGGCATCAGTGGCGGATCCAGGATTTTCCTACCCGGGGGGGGGGGGGCACAAAATGGCATGGGGTGAAATACATGTATATGTAAATCGATGAAGCGACAGGGCGAGGCTTCAGCGGCGAGGGAGCGGAGCGACCAAGCGGGGGTGGGTCTGGAAGGGGGTTATGACCCCCTCCCCGAGTAGGAAGCATTTGCATTTGCATTTTAAGGCACTTCCTGGTGGAATATAACGTAAATTGCTTTCCCCTACCCCTCCGAGAATAGGGATCTTTTGCAATTTGAGAACCACATTATTTTGGCGCATTAATGTCCACCGACACTTCCTGGAAAAAAACGAGGTGTTTTGATTGGTTAGAAGTTAGAGAAAAGGGATCTTTCACGTCGTGAGACGTTGTATATGCTTCGTTGCCGCACAATGCACAAAGACGGTGGTCCGGTACTTCACCAGTAGTACTTGCAAAAATTATCTCGAGTGTATAAACTGTGTTGTTATCAGGGGGCGTCGCTAGATCTTTTTCAGTGGGGGAGGGGGGAGGGTGTAGAGGCCTCCAATTACCGACAAATATATTGATGCCAATGTCCCAATGTCTACAAATTTAACCCTATAAACCCGGGGCCAGGAACTAAGTTATTTATCAGTTTTCCCTCTCCCGCGCGAAGCGCAGCTTTGATCCTTCATTGAATTATTAGAGAAAGAAGACGATCCGTTGTACCGTTCGCGACTCTTATTCTTGTTCCGCCCTCCCGCGCGAGGCGCGGAAGCTATGACGTTTCATTTAATTATTAGAGAAAGAAGACGAATTATTGTACTGTTCTTGACTCTTAACCCTTGTTTGAATTCAGTTTCCCCCTCCCGCGCGAAGCGGGGAAACTTTGACGTTTCAATAAATCATTACTCTTGATCCTTGTCTGAATTCAATTTCGCCCATTTCGCGCGAAGCGCACAAGCTTTCACGTTTCATTAACTTATTAGAGAAAGAAGACGATTCGTTGTACCGTTCTCGACTCTTAATCCTATAGTCTGAATTAGCCTAAGTTGCCCCTTTCATTAAATTATTAGAGTGTTACTGTTAGTGGCCACTATAAGGCCCATTAGTGATTATAAAAAAAAAAATGCTCTTCCTGGCTATTTGGGAATGTGTCAGTATGCAACAAAAATGGAGAAACGCGCATTTTTTTTTGAAAATCATGTGATATCACGAACATTTGTACATCACTTGTATGGAATTGAAAATAAGTCATGGTTCAATTTTATTTGGGGGGGGGGGGCTGGCGCCCCCAACCCCCCTACCAGTACGCTAGTGATTGTCAGTGATCTTGTACTCGTAAAGATACCCTTTTTTAACAACGAAAATTAAATATGGAATACTCCAAACAGGAAAAATAAAGTCTCAAAGTCTCTCGCAACAAATCTTCACTGATTAAAATAATCAAAAGTAGTAGTATTTCGAATGCGAAATAAAAAGGTTTCGAACAAATTATAGTTTTCCTGCAGACAACACGATCTAACAATTAAAAAAAAAAAAATTAATATTTACTGGAAGAAATATGCTAATGAGACCCAGTTCTTTTATTAAGAATAGAAATTTGATATTCCTCCCATCTCCAAGATCATACGACATAATCATCCTAGGGGAAACGATTTTTTTTTAGAACGCCCTCTTGCGTTTCCCGCGTTACAGTAGACTTGCGGTCGCTTCAAAATGGACTTGGCAATCAGCTGTCCAGTCAAGTCAACACAAGTCAAATGAGGTTTTAGTTTTGCGAACCGCAATTCCGACTGAAAACTGGTGAGTTTAACTTCAGCGGGTGAATCAAAAGTATCTTTGATTGTGATAGATATTATTGTCCGTTCTTCAACTTTAAGTAGTATTTTGGAAATTTGAGCAAACACGGAATTCAGACTCGAAGACAGTCCCGATAATATTTGCCTCCGCCCTCCCTCCTCCCTCGATCCTACCGATCCTATCGGGAGCCCTGGCCCTGGTCACTGGTGCAGGTGACTGGTCTCGGACAGCTCGAGACTTCGGATTCGGAAGACGGTCGACGGGAACTGTCAGATTCGGCATTTAATTATGTGTACACTGGAGAAATTAATCATGCAGGGTCTAGCATTAATTTAGACTCTAGATCTATATTAGAATCTAGAGTCTCTTTGTAAAATAGGTGCTGTGAAATTGGTTTGATTTGTTGAAAATAAATGTTCAGTCATTAATTACTAAAAATCTTGTTGAACTTGTTGTTGTTGTTCTTGGGTTTTAAGGCTGACCAATTTAACACAGGAAAGTGGGCATTGTGACTTGGATGACTAGATCTAGTTATGTTATGGTCGTGTAATGTTTACGGTACCTGATGCGTACATTATTGCTAAAAATGGTATTTTTTTAAAAAAGGCTGAACTTTGATTTGTTGAAATGCTAAAAATCTAGAAATTATGAATTTTGTAATTTATCCCTCGAGCTATTTATAGAGGTGTTGTTTACTTTAATATATTTGTTTTGCTGTGCCTGTGACGTGCCTGTGTATATTTTCAGTTTAAATAAAGATGTAGAAGCTCATGATTGATTGATTCTCAGTACCAGCTCTTGGAAGTGAAAAGGACCAAGTCACCTGGACAGAATTCAGATTCTTCATGAGGGAGCAGTGCAGTGAAGGGCGTGTCACAAGGTTGCCCATTTCCATGAGCTGTTCATACACCACTCAGACGTAAAAATGGGGAGCAGAGAAGATTTTACCTCTTCTGAGAGGGAAGAATACATCGGTAAGCATTCAAACTCATTTAGGTAGCTTAGCGAAATATAGTGACGCGAAAAGACGCAAAAGGCCCAATCGATGAATAATTTGAAGTATCTAAATGACCTTTTTTTGGGGGGGGGGGGGGAAGGGGTAATATTATGTTTAGTCCTGTGTCCTAAACATATGGTTCTGTCACAATTCTGCCAAATCATAGTTTTCAACAATTATACATTTTGCATTCCAGTCTCTTCGTACCGCTTCATTTTGGTAGGCTATTTGTACAGTTTTCAGGTTTATATGTTTAACATGGTAAAGTTGTAAGGCTTTATTTATGATCTTTTAATTCTCAATGATATAGTAAGGCAAGTTCCAAGTATTTTTGTCCCATTTGTTTCCAACTTTATCACAGATTTTAGAATGCAGGATTATTGTGTTAATTAAAAGGATCCGGTAACTTTCTCTCAAATTCTGAAACAAATCTTGGATTTAGCTCATGCTGCAATGATAACTATAAACCTTTAGGTCAGTCAGAAACTCCATGTCTTTTACAAGCCTGTCTGATTATCAAGATATTTATGATTGGAATTACAAATTTTGAAAACTGTTTGCCACACGGTTTTCATAACACTACAGTCTACTTAGGAAAATGAGTATGGTAAAACCAGTCATTCAAAGATTTTTTTACTTTTATGAGGCACTTCTTGATCATTTTGAAGCGCAATTTTTTTTGGGCTTCAATATTACACCAAATCACAGACACTGATAACACGTAGGGCCGTGTTTCTCAGATTTAACATTGTTAAACGATCCCTTTAAGGCCTTTTATAGCAGAGATCAGACTTTGTATAAGCAGGGAGTTAGTATTATAAGTAACCTGAGCCACCAAGTATTGGAATGAATCTTTAATTGATAATTAAATAGAAAATTGAATTATAATTAATTTTGACCTATAGATGTTCCTTCATTTTATTGTTAAATTAAGCATCAAATTGATAATTCACAATTATAATGAAAAATTTAAAGAAATAAAAAGTCAAATGGCATCGTGGTTAAGACGATACTTAACTGTTCTTGGAAGAATCACCGTTGTCAAGTCATTGTTGGTATCCAAATTACACTACCTTTTTTTGTCCCTCCCTAATCCTGGTGAAAATCTTTTGAAAGATATAAATGCTCACTTTTATAGATTTATATGGGGGGAGAAACCTGATAAAATAAGTAGAAATCAAATGTCACAAAGTTACTCAGACGGAGGGGTTAAAATGATAGATATATACACACATTGCCAATCATTAAAAATATCCTGGATTAAGAGATTAGTAATTGGCTCAATAGATAGCAATATCCTCTGTCTTTTGCAATCTTTCTTGCCTGAACGGCAAGATTTAAAATTATATATGGGAAACAATTATTTTCGGGAACTGGCAGGTAAAACAAAGAACATTTTTTGGAAAGAAATGTTCATGGCTTATAGTACGCTCTTGTCCATGCATTATGATAACATTTCTTGCCAACCCTTATGGAATAATGATTACATTAAAATAGGCAATAGCTCAATATATAATAAAAAATTGTGTCAAAAGGGAGTTCGTTTTGTTAACGATATTTTAGACACAAATGGTGATTTTTTCTCTCTGGAACACTTTCAAGAAAAGTATAATATTCAAATAAATTTTCTTTTTTATCGTGGATTATGCGATGCAATTAGACAAGGGTTTAACAATTGTACTATTTTTAACAAGGTGCCACAACCTCTTTTCCCAGATACAATGGCATTTGTTATGAAACGTATTAAAGGATGTTCACATATCTATGCAATTTTATTAAAAAGAAGAAAAGGACAATGTAAAAGTTTTCTTAAATGGAAATGCATTTTTGACCTGAATGATAAGAGTTGGGAAACATATTGTTCTATTGGATTTAATTGTACTATTGATGTGGGCTTACGATGGTTTCAGTTTAAAGTCTTGCAACGCATATTATATACGAACGATCTACTGTTTAAAATGAATTTAGTCCCAAGAAAAGAATGTACATTTTGTAATGAACAGATTGAAACAGTTATACATCTGCTATGTGACTGTACGCATGTTAAAAATATTTGGGGTAAGTTAGAACACTGGATTAATACTGGAACCGGAAATAAATTAACATTTTCATTACAAGATAAATTATTTGGTTTAAAAGGTTCAAATAATTATGCATTGAATTGTATACTGATTGTGGTGCGACAGATGGTGTATACTTGCAAAATAAAGAAACAATTGCCCGACTTTGATAATATTAGAGTTCCGATTATAAATTACTTCAAGAACGAAAAGTATATTGCAAATTCGAATTGTAGAAATAATAAATTCACAAGAAAATGGTTTCAATTCAGGAATTTGTTTACTTAAAATGATATTTTTTCTGTATTTGTTTTTCTTTCCATGAGTGTTAGAAATGAATTATTGATTTGTTATTTTGTGTTAACTCAACAGTTCATCAATACTTGTATCTTGAAAAGCCAATTTTATTTTATTTATGTTATTATGTAAATTACCTTGAATATATATTTTTGTATGTGTTTCAAATGAAAATCAATAAAATCCCTGTGGAGGGAAAAATATGAAGAAAAAAAAAAAAAAAAAAATATCTTTCATCAGAATGAACTTCATAACGAAGGTTTTCCTGTTTCAGGAAGAAAATCATAGTTGATATTGCTTTAAACACCTTGTTTAAACCTCTAAATCCTTGGTGGGAATTGTTACGTACAGTACAGAAATAATTAATGAATGTTCTTTTTTTTCCTTCACCTAGTTGCAGTGTGAAAAATAATTTCCTGCTCATGGGAGCTCTTTTAGGAGTTGATGTTTTCTGACTGCAATTTTCTCACAGTGATATTAAAATATTTTATTGTGTTTTACCAGAGCTCCTTCTTCACTTTACCAAAGCTTTTTTATAGCTTTTGAGAAGTAAATCACTCACCGATCCCACATATTTTTTTCTTTTACCTAGTTGTATTTGAGAGCTACAGTAGAGAGCAACACAAGGAGGACATAGAAGGCATCCTACTCAAAGAGGAGGAGAGCCAGCACTACAGTGTTCAGATTGAGTAAGTTCTGCTGTTGGGTCTTATAAATGACACATGCTCTGTGACGAATGCTCTGCGTTCAATATCCTATAGTAACCAAATTCTTAAAGACCCTATCCGATGAAAATTCTTTTTTTTTTAGAAAGAAAGAGCTGGATGAAAGTAGAAAACAAACGTTTGGAATTTCAATGAAATTAATCTTTTCTATGATGATATATCTATGATTTTAGATCAAATTGTACTTGGGTACTAATAGAATTCTTTATCTTTTGTATACGTAATTAAAAATGTTGTTTATTAATTTCATTTTTACCTAACATTTTCAGACAATTGATAAATAGAATAGGAATTTTGCAAAGCTTGTACTGTAATATTTGCTCTGGTATAATTTCAGGGATGTGAATCTAAAGTTGTTAAGTCAAACCACAAAATAGACTGGTCATGTCCCTTAATGATTAAGTGAACCTTGTAAATCTAATTTTGTATTTTACCCTGTCCCAAACAGTGCAATGACCTTGTTCGAGACCAACATGGAGGTGAGTGAACTGATTCTGACCAGTCCTCTGATCACCTTACCTCTCCTGGACATCGCTCTGACCAGGGTAGCCATGGACGTCTACAGGAACCACCCAGAGAAGGATAACATGGTAAGAACCAGGGGGGGGGGGGTCTTTCACCAAGATCCCAAGTCAAACTTATCTCTAAGTTGGACTCAACAATTATGGAAAGCCGTTAGCATCTTTGAAAATGTTTTGTAAAGGTTATTTTTAAAGGCATAGAATGTTGATTCAAATCATTCATATTTTCTATTATCAAGGAGATTTCATGTTCTTGATGTGGAGTTTATGACATACTTGAAATTTTGCTTTTGAACATATTTTATTTTAATGCAACAAATGGCTCTCTATAATTTGTTAAAGTCCAACTTACAGTTAAGTTCCTCTTAGAATCTTTGTGACACACCCCTGGAATGGTTTGTAGAGGTTGTGGGGTTCAAGCCCGAGCATGGCACTCTTGTCCCTTGACAAGGCATTTATCTTTATTTTTGCCGTTCTTCTTCCATGTTTTAAAAGGGTACCCAGTAGAATACAAATGTCATTGTGGTTGGATTGTGCCTGGAAAATGGCCTCTTAGCCAGGAGGTTGTGTGATACAGTTTAGTCACTATTCTGGGTAAGCAGAGGTTGTGGCTTCAAGCCATAGTCCATCTTAGAAGTCATATTCCCAAAAGATGTGGTAAACTTAAAAAAAACAAAACATGGTATGGCAATATAAATTTGACATTATATTTTAACACTCAGATTTAAGTGATTACACTTTGGGGACTTTGTTTATATGGGAGTGTCGTAGTCGAGTGGTTTAAGGCGCTTGACTGGAGATGCGAAGGTCGAGGGTTCGAATCCCGACACGACACCAATATCCTTTGGCAAGATATTTACCTGACCTTGCTACTCTCCACCCAGGTTTTAAATGGGTACCCGGTAGGATGCGACCGTCATTGTTGGTCAAACAGTTTTTGAGCGTCAAGTAACGCCAGGCTGCAATGATCCCCAGGGAGTGGAGATTGTGCACACAGTGTGTGCAGGCAAGTACTGAATCCAATGACTGGAGTAATAGGATCTGTAAAGCGCTTAGAGACATCATAGATGCATTAAGCGTTATATAAAAGCAGAATTATTATTATTATTATTATTATTATTAATAAATACTGTTTTCTCACCCCCACTTGCCATCAATTTACGATGATTTTTATTTACTGCTGCAGTTCACGTTCCACTTTTGTTTCAACATGCCTTAAAGAACACTGATATAACATCTTTTCTTCGCGTTAATTGTTCCACCTACAGAGTATGAAGACTAACATCCACGGTCGGTTGACAAGGTTACCTGCCTGCCCGGAGCTTGTCCGAGAACAGCTCCCAAGGAACACAGATATCGGCAGATTTCTCTCTGTCTCAGGTCAGTTGCTGCCAGTTTACATTTTATAGAGGAGTGGTTCATCAATTTACATATACAGGATTGGTTGTAACCCTTTTTCCCCCAACATATATTACAATGTGTAGTGCTAGTCATCAATTGTGCAGATAAGAAATTGGGCCGTATGCATAAAAAGTAGCAATTGCTTGTGCTAGCCTTTTACTTGAATCCGTATGCATAAACATAAGCAATTGCTTGCAAGCAAATGCTTTTGCTAGCAAGCACAAGCATTTGCTTGATGTCCGCAAGCAATTGCTTAAAGATCAAGCAATTGCTTAAAAACGTATGCATAAAACGAACCTTTTGCTTGTTCTTATAAGCAATTGCTTACGTTTTTTCAAGATCCGTCATAGCAGCTTGAGCTCTTGCTTAATCGGGACGTTCGCGGTTAAGCATCATGTTTATGCTCGTTAGAGAAAAACCAAAGTTGTACAGGAGTAGAATAAATCAAGAAGAAATTGCTCCCGAGACCTATCGGAAACTATTCCGTTTCGACAAAGAGAACGTTGAGTGGTTAGCACACAGGTTCATACCTGAACATGATGAAAAACGGGGAGGATGTCTGACAACGGTGGAGAGCATGGAGGCATGACATTTGAATACACTACTAGTATGCGAAACCCGCCTTTGTTCTCCCATGAATGATGTTCGCACCGGCGTGACGTCGCTATTGTTGAGATCGTAAGCAATTGCTTGCTGGAGGCAAGCAAAAGGTTTGAGCACAAGCAAAATTTTATGCATACGGATTTAAGCAATTGCTTGAGCTTGATCTTTTGCTTGACAAGCAATTGCTTGTGCTTGAAGCAATTGCTTGCAAGCAATTGCTACTTTTTATGCATACGGCCCATTGTTTTTTGCTCTCTCTCTGAGGTTAGTTGACTTCGGTTCATTGTAGCATTGGTTGTAAATTTTCTTTACGTGTAGTGCTAGTTAATCATTGTTTAGATAAGAAATTGACAAGATAACCATAACTTGTGTTATTGGCAGTTTCTTTCCACCTCAGGTTTGTTGCCATTCGTTCTTTGTAGGATTGGTTTTACACTTTCTTTACAATATATAGTCCTAGCCAGTATATTAATAGATGTAGAAACTATTAATCATAATTTGCACTTGTTTCCTTTCTTAGAAAGTCTATTGGATTGAGATTAAGTACAATTATTCCTTGTGTTTCGTGCAGGATTTGGCATGTCGTTAAGAGACATGCCAAATGTTAAGAGACATGCAGTTGAAATACAGTTGCTCAGCACTGTAACCAAATGTTCTCCTCCCAAACTTTATGCTTGCATTAAGAAAAAAATACAAGAGAAAATTGGATGCTTTAACTGTCTGACATTCCCCCACTGATCAGTGTTTGTCTGTTTTGGGCTTTGTGTCATCAAAGTTATAGTGTTGGGGTTACTAGGTTCCGATTGTGTTTTAGGTTAGGTTTGAAGTTAGGTATAGATTAGGGTTCGGTTTGAAGTTGGGTAAGGGTTAGGGTTAGGTATAGCTTTTGACTCAGGGTTGAGGTGAGGAATTTGGGTAGTGTACAAAATTGACTGCAGAGCAATTCATTGGAGCGAGAACTAACCCAACTAATTTTTCTTGGTTTTCAAACAGGAACGGTGATCCGCACCACACTGGTGAAGATGTTAGAGTTTGAGAAGGATTTCATGTGCTCCAAATGCAACCATGTATTCGGTGTAGAGGTCAGTACGTCACACAAAATTCTTTGCGGTATTTGGGCACCCAGTATTAATAGTCATTGATCTGTGGAGGTGTCGTGGTCCAGTGGTTATGTCACCGGACTGTGGATCACATGGTTCATGGTTCAAGTCTCACCGCTGCACTAATGTTCTTTGGCAAGACATTAATTTTCATTTGCCACACTCCAATCAGGTCTGGTTAAATGGGTACCTGGCAGGAATTAATTCTTTGAAATGCTGCCAAAGAAGTACCCAAATGGCAGCCATGCTAATTGTGGAGCGCCAGGAGTGTCCAGTCTGACAGAAATGAGTGCTTTACAAGAACCCACTATATTATAACAGTGAAACCTGTCTATAAAGACCACCCAAAGGGAGACAAGAAAAGTGGTCTTCATAGGCAGGCAGGTGGTCTTTGTAGACAGGTTCCTTCAGTACATGATTCAATGAGAAACAATTTTCAAGGGGAACAAAAAATGTTCTTGTTGTAGACAGGTTGTCACTAGAGCAGGTTTGACTGTATTATAAATTGTTATATTCACCAGGCAAACATTGAAAGGTATTACCAAGAGTGCAAGCCAGACCGATGCCCCAACCCAGAAGGCAGCTGTAACTCTACCAAGTTCTCTTGTCTGTCTGGAATGGAGAGTGGTGGGGCGCCCTCTAGCTGCCGAGACTACCAGGAGCTCAAGATACAGGAACAGGTCCATAAGCTCACCATGGGAACCGTATCCTTTATAATGCACTCAAATTGAGTTTGAGTTTGAGTTTGAGTTTGAGTTTGAAGTTTGTTATTCAAACAAAAAATATATCAATATAACAATCAAAAGTAAATGTTTAACATTGAAATTAGTTCATACTAAGGTGTTTATCATGCATTCAATAGGTATCTTTTACTAACAAAATATAAATCAACTAAAGAAGCACAACTAAATTTTTCACGATATGAGACCTTGTGTAAAGGATGTATTATGAGAACAAGCTTGCTTTCCCTATTAATTGTTCATCACTATATGGAGTTTCAGCCATAACAGTTTCTTTAATAACTTGCATCATTTATTTTGATTTAATAATCCTTCAAGTTCATTGGATTCTGTGAGCAACAGATTTTCCATGTGAGCAGAATTTAAATTCCAATAATTAGATTTGATCATGGTGTCTGTATGTTTCAAAATTAGTTGTATTGACCCTTGACACTTGACCTCCCAGATTCCCAGGTCAATGTGGGTGGTACTGGAGGATGACCTGGTGGATACTTGTAAAGCTGGTGATGACATCACAGTCACGTAAGCGACTTTCACAGTCAAATGAATATAACTAAGCATTTATTAGAGCAGTGGGAAAGAGGTAGCTATAGTTAACAACTAAATTATTCATACCCCTTGTAAATTGTAAAGATTTTTGTGTCTATACAGTAACTCAAGAATGAAAGGTGGACTGGTTGAATAAGAGCCTTTGTTGAATACTTTTTGATGTGAACTTTAAAATGTCACATTCTGGAGAAACATGAATAGGGACATATCAAGTATTCACATAATTGAAAAATTACAAAACTTGGTAAGGGTATGAATTATTTAGTTGTTAATTGTATGTGCAACATAGACCTCTATGCCTTCTCAATTTCTATATGGTATAGGAAACAGAAATGTGGAGCGCACTACATTTAGTAAGGCGGTATTTTTTGCTGCGGTTTACAACATCAACGATGTGTGAAGGAAACTTTAAGACTAGTGACTTAAAAAGAAGGTTGAGTTCTGGGGAGAGATGGAACATAATTTGCGAGCGTTTCATTTTATTATGCAAGTGTGGACGAACATCGGAGAAAAATGTTCTCTGAAAAGCATGGCTCTTTAAATGCCTTCATATTCTAAATGTGACTAAAAAGGGGCTATATACATTTATGACAAAAGGGGAATGTGTCCCTCTCTCAAACTCATGCCTTGAGCATTGGGCATATTTATTATTATTATTACAGTCAAACCTGCTTTGGTGACCACCTCTATAGAAAGACCACCTGTCTATAAAGACCACATTTTTTCTCCCCTTGAATATGGTTTTTCATTTAAACCTGTACTGAAGGAATCTGTCCATAGAGACCACCTTCCTGTAAACACCACTTTTCATATTTGCTTGACAGAGGAACGGTGATGAGGAGATGGCAAGCTACTTACGTTGATGCTAAATGTGAGATTGATCTCGCTCTCAAGGCGAGTCATATCTCAGTCAAGAATGAGCAGAGGGAGGTTCTCACAGTCACTGAGGAAATGGTACGTGAGCTTTCCTTTCAATTTTTCCTCTCAATAATCAAGTCAGAAAAAAATTGAAATCTAAACTTTTTAATATGTTGAATTGGCTGAAACAGACAATAAAGAGAAATAGATAGCGAAAGTCTAAATAAAATCGGACTCAGGGTATGACATTTTAAAAGTTGCAATCTATATACATCTTGGAGTTTTAAATAGGCTGATACATTTGTAAGTCACTGCATTTAATTCACGTTAAATATCGCATTTGATGTACTCAACATAGCTTTAATTTCCTGGTTTTCCTAAGGACATTTTCCCTAAATGCAGTAGTATATTTTATGTATAGCATGTTGTTATAGGTTATCCAAAAAATATTCATCGTCATCATAAAAACATGTACCGGTAAACATTTTGAAGAAAAAAAAAACCTTGGTCATTTTATGTGCTGGAACAGATAGGTTAGATGTCTGCCCATACTGCCATAGTGATATTATAGATCCAGCCAATACATTTTGATTTCTTTTCTTTTCTTTGATAGAGACAAGAATTTGAAGAATTCTGGGACAATCACAGATTTAATCCATTATCGGTAAGAAAGTCTTGTCTAATGTGTAAAGTCTTACCATGTACATCATCAATCACAGGCTAAACTTCATAGAACGAAACTTATTTCCGTTAAAAGTACCAATTTTTGTACAATATATCCTTTTTATGCCTCCGTTACGAAGTAGCCGGAGGCATTATGTTTTCGGGTTGTCCGTCCGTCCGTGCGTCCGTCCGTCCGTACGTATGTACGTACGTCTGTACGTACGTACGTCCCGTTCTCGTGATCGCGTTATCTGAAGAACTGGTTGATGGATTCCTGCCAAACTTTGGTCATGTATGTATCTTGTAGAGCCGATGAACTGATTAGATTTTGGGGTTACGAGGTCAAAGGTCAAAGGTCACAGGGCTCATTATGTATGCAAAACGAGCTCGTGATCGCGTTATCTGAAGAACTGGTTGATGGATTGCTGCCAAACTTTGGTCATATATGTATCTTGTAGAGCCGATGAACTGATTAGATTTTGGGGTCACAAGGTCAAAGGTCAAAGGTCACAGGGCTCATTATGTATGCAAAACGAGCTCGTGATCGCATTATCTGAAGAACCGATTGATGGATTGCTGCCAAACTTAGGTCATGTATGTTACTTGCAGAGCCGATGAACTGATTAGATGTAGGGGTCACAAGGTCAAAGGTCAAAGGCCACAGGGCACATTATGTATGCAAAAACAGCTCGTGATCGCGTTATCTCAAGAACCGATTGATGGATTCCTGCCAACTTAGGTCATGTATGTTTCTTGCAGAGCCAATGAACGGAGTAGATTCTTGGTTCATAAGGTCAAAGGTCATGGGCTCATTATGTATGCAAAAATAGCTTGTAATCACAATATTCTGAAAACCTGTTAATGGATTACAATTGAACTTGAATTCGAAAAATTTCTTCTGTTTTGGTTTGTAAAATTGCTCTATGACGGAGGCATCATTTTCGACTGCGCGCAGTCGAAGTTCCATCTAGTTCTATTAGATTTACATGTTTAGTTTATAACCCGATGACTGCTAAATTCTCTAATCACCATAGGCTTTATACAGGGACAACCCAGTTCCAGTAGGAAGTGGGTTAATTTTCTAATAGATACGAGTTGCCAATGCACTCTTTAACTTTCTTCTTCTTGGCTCCATCCACAATATTAGTTATAGAATGTATTATCCCATTCCTATTCATTTATACCCAGTACCGGTAAGTTTGTTTAGCCCCCATCACACCAAACTAGTTCTCACTACGTTCTGGAACCGTTCTAGAAAATCGTTAAAAAAGGGGTTATGAACTGACTGTGGACGGGTACAGACGAGATGGACGTATTGAGGACTATCTACCCCGACCACAACCCGTTTTACGTTTTTCTAGGACGGTTCCAGAACGTAGTGAGAACTAGTTTGGTGTAATGGGGGCTTTACACTTTCCTTTCCGTCCTCCATATCATCACAATCATTGTTCACATTGACACCACTTCTTGGTCTTCGATCCGTGTTCCCCCCTAGGGTCGTAACATCATCTTGGCCAGTCTATGCCCGCAGGTTTACGGGCTCTACGTCGTCAAGCTGGCGGTGGGGATGGTATTAGCTGGGGGTGTGGCCAGGCGTGATGCAACCGGTACAAGAACTCGAGGAGAATCTCACCTCCTTCTCGTAGGTGATCCAGGTCAGTATGTAATTGATTAGATTAGATTAGATTAAATAAGATATAATTAATGACATTAGATTCTTGAGGAAAATGCATCTATTTAGAAAAAAAAATCATTTCATAAAATCGAGAATCCTTTATAACGTTATTGTATTCCTTGAAATGCTAGAGCGCCGTAATGGCAGCCATGCTAAAGCCAGGGTAATAATTGGGAGCGCCAGGAGTGTCAAGTCTGACAGACATGAGCGCTATACAAGAACCCACTATTATTATTATTATCTGATAAAAGTAAGATTAATGTGACATGAGATATGTTTCACCTAGATTTAAGTTGTCTATTGTGTTTTTTCATCTGATGCTTTTTCTTTTAATCGTGAAACATTTAAGTGCTACACATAATTTTCTTTTCCTTGACTATATATCACAATTTTTTCTTACCTTTAAAACCTCACATGCTGTTGGCGGTAAATTCCATCTATGAATGTGGGCATTAAACAATTTGTTTGGATTAAGAATAGTTGTATTTTTTCCCTGAATAGAAATGGGTAGTCTCATTGTGAAGTGATCATTCCCATAGAATGTATTATTTAAGCCCAATTCAACAACGGAAGAGAAACAAAGCCAAAATCATAACACGTTCAGACTTATAACCATTGTTGAAAAACTTGTTTGGCATGGAAGGGGAAAGAAATAAAGAATAAAGTTCTGCATGTGAACTAGCTGCCCTATTTTCATGTGGCTTTGTTCAGGTACTGGCAAATCTCAGTTCTTGAAGTATGCTGCCAAGGTGGTCCCACGGTCAGTACTGACCACTGGTATTGGGTCAACGAGTGCCGGTCTGACGGTCTCTGCGGTCAGAGACTCGGGGGAGTGGACATTGGAGGCTGGAGCTCTGGTCTTGGCGGATGGAGGTCTTTGCTGTATCGGTAAGAAGACGTCCTGAAAATTTGGTGGACACAAAAACAATACAGTGTCAAATTTGGGGAATGTTGTAAATAATAATTTAATAATATTCCGCTTTTATATAGAGCTTAATACAAATGTCTCTAAGCGCTTTACAGATATACTATTACCCTGGTCATTGGACTCAATACTTGCCAGCACACGATGTGTGCACAATTTCCACTCCCTGGGGAGCATTCCAGCCAGGCGTAACTTGACGCTCAAAAACTGTTTGACCAACAAGGACGGTCGCATCCTACCGGGTACCCATTTAAATCAGCATGTTGACAGAATATCGGTGCCAGTGATGGCCTGATGTATCCCACAGGGTTAAAATAATCTCTAGATCTGCTAGTAAAAAGGAAAATGGACTTAAGCTTGTGAAATATGTCATCATATTTTTCCTCTTGTATCAAAAGATACATGTACCAGAAATGTAGATGTTTCCACCCTGTTTTGCAATGGGTTTTAGTCCAAGTTTGTGAAATGAACGCCAAATTGAGGCTTGTGTAGTCGTTGCTATTTTGTGCCGAATTACACTGCACCGAAAACTCTCAAAATTTCATAGATATGTATGCTCACACAGCATGAAATAAATGTGCTCATTGCACAAGGGAATTTACTATCTGGCCAAGGATATTATCTTTCACCTCTCATGACAAACTTAATTTTATTTCATTGATGGTTTGTTAAAACAATCAAGACTTGTGACAGTAATGCTGAATTGTTTGAACCTTGTCTAAGTCCATGATCTAATTATAGCATACATGTACTTAATCAAATTGGTTACACTTTATCATGAGATAAAAAATCTTAAAGGTGAATTTTTGTGTTTAACTAGATGAGTTTAACAGCATCCGAGAGCACGATAGAGGCAGTATACACGAGGCTATGGAGCAGCAAACCATCAGTGTGGCTAAGGTAAGACGGAGATGATCCTTGTAAACTTCCATCATAATGATTTTTTTTCTTCACAATACCACGAGAATCGCTACTTGATATGACTGTTAAATTACTGTATTAACAGAAAGGTTTGTGCTCATGAAATGTTTATGAATGTTGCTAGTAGTTCAGATTACCTGAAGGGAAATACCGGATTCACATCCAACAGAACATTGAACTGTTGTGATTCCGAGAAGCCTTGTAGTCAAATTACTGTTACTCCCCAGGGAGTGGAGAATGTGCATACATTGTGTGCGGGTAAGCCTGAACCCGATGACCGGGTAATAATATATGTATCTGTAAAGCCCTTTGAGAGGGCCTTCGGTCCTGAAAAGCGCTATATAAGAACTAGCTATTATTATTATTATTATTAAAAAGCAAAAGTTTCATGTCATAGAATAGAAATTTATTCCCCAAATTGTGGATACCACATGACTACTTGTACCTTTCATCTCATTTTGGATCTCCGTCCCTCATATCCTCCTCTCCTTATAATTTTCTAGGCTGGTTTGGTGTGTAAGCTGAACACCCGCACCACCATCCTGGCGGCGACGAACCCAAAGGGTAAATACGACCCAGGGGAATCGATCAGTGTAAACATCGCCCTCGCCAGTCCTCTGTTGAGTCGTTTTGACATCGTTCTGGTCCTCCTTGACTCCCAGAATGAGGACTGGGACAGAGTGGTGTCGTCCTTTATCTTGGAAGGGAAGGCACCAGCCCCAGAAGGTGAGAAGGGGGGTGGTTTCACAAAGATCCTAAGTCGAACTTTACTCTAAAGTTAGACTTAAACATTATGGAGAGCTATTTGTAGCCTTAAAATAAAATATATTCAAAAGCAAAAAAGTATTTTCAATCTTTATAAATTCCACATCAAGAGCATGAAATCTTCTTGATACTGGTAATAGAAAATATGAATGATTTGAATCAACATTTTATGCCTTTTGAAATAATTTTTACAAAATATTTTCATAGATGCCAATTGGCTTTCCATAAATTATAAATCCAACTATATAAGTCCAACTTAGGATCTTTGTGAAAAAAAACCCTGGTTGTTCAACATTAGCTCATGCAACGATTGCTCTACGCTACTTCACTGGAGGGCTTCAAGGGAGCGCTTCCACCAAGCATCTAGACCAAGAACTAGATAGTTTATTCCTCAGCACTACATCCTGACTTATGGATCCTGCTGAGTATCGTCGTAGAAGTAGAAGTAGTATCGTCAAAATATTACTCTACCAAAATTCCTAAATTCAACCATGGACCCAATCCTCCCTAACCATAATCCTAACCATAAAGTAGGGCTCCACACTAACCTTTTAGGAAGAGGGTCCAGATTAACTTTTTAGAGTTCATATGCATGAGCTCTATGTAAATATTAACAAAATGTTGGTGTCAATACTTACATTTAGGGTGCATATGTGTCCTAAAGTGCCTGTGAGTGAGGAGCCCTGCTTAAAGCTACTCTCAAACCCTATTGCATCCCTACAATCCTCACCCTATACCTGTTGATAAAATAAATCTGGACCAATCGTCCCCAGCATCTGTTGGATCGCTGACCCGCAGGGAGTGAATTGGTGATCCGACATATGGTCCAATAGATGATGCTCCAGGCTTCTTTTTGTTAAAGATGCAGGGTATGGGTGAAAGGTTGCAGTACCATTTTCAGGCTAGTTTTGGGTTAGGATTACGCTTATTGTGTAATAGAGAGTTGAAGCTAACAATTTGGGTCGGTGTACAATGTTTATTTCAGAGTAATTGTCGCCGGAGCATGTGTTGTACAAACTGGTGAATTACTCAATGACCTTGCTTTACATCAAGAGGAGGTCAACCATGATACTAAGCAGAAAAATCAGAGAAACAGATCAGTCAAGGTTTGAGAAAATTCTGGTAAAGAAAAAAGAAATATATAAATGGAAAAAATGTGAGAATTTGCATTATTCAGTACCGGTAATAAAATTATGTATTATCTTTTGTGGTTAGGGAATACAAATTCCAAGGGTTGAAGAAGTGCACATTAAACAATAGACCATTCCGTAGATTCAATCTGCGCATGAGCCGATAAAGGTCATTTGTGATAAAATTGTAAAACCCACCGAGATGAATACATGCTCATGTTATGTAATCATTATCCATTTGTACACCGACGGTACATTCTATGATACAAGAGGGCAAACGAAAGCTAATCCTGAAGCACATACATGACTTTGGCATTGATTATTCTAAAATACACAAAATGGGACTTCTCCATGAGTAAAAGATCTGTTGATATTTGGGGTCATTTTTACAATGTGCTATCTACAAACTGGTCTATTGAAGTCCGCTGATACATAATTGGTCCATCAAATGCCTATATAGATTCTTTCTGTATAAAACATCAAACTGTTGTTCTCCTAGGTGCTCCTGCGAGTGACCTGTGGAGCATTGAGAAGATGCAGACGTATCTGAGCATCATCAAGACAATCGACCCTGTCCTGACTCCGCAGGCTAACATGTAAGTCATTCATTACAAATATAAGCTCTTGCAGAAGACCACATTTTATGCATCCTCAGTATGATTCTATCCAAATGAAGCCATATGGGGTGTTTCACAAAGATTCTAAGTAGAACTTAACTCTAAGTTGGACTTAAAAATGATGGAGAGCCATTTGTAGTCTTAAAATAGAATATATTGAAAAGCGAAAATTCAAGTATTTTAGACTTTTTATAAATTCCACATCAAGAACATGAAATCTCCTTGATATTAAATAGAAATTTGTATCAACATTTTATGCCTTTCATATAACTTTTACCAAATATTTTCATAGATGCTAATGGCTTTCCATAACTGTTAAGTCCAACTTAGAGATAAGTTCAACTTAGGAACTTTGTAAAATAATAACCCATGGACAGATATCTTTTTGTTTCTGAATATAGAGCTTTATAATTGACCTGAAAACAATTTTGGATTATAATTTAGTTGAAGAAAAAAAAACAGGATTAAAAAAAAATCTTGAAAGAGCAGTGAAGTAGGGTCAAGCTGACATGGAAGTGCCATATTTGGAGAAGCTGGAATGGCAAAGGCCCAGGGCAACACACCACCTTGCACTAGTGAAGGAGAGTGAATGAGAATAAACTTGAGAGCTCTTGACTGTAGTTTAATTATTGCGCCATTATGATTGTACCCTTAACTGTAATTGATAACTTTATTTGTGATGCAGAAAATTTTCTTTTTCAATTGATCTTTTGGGCTAAATCCATTTAATCTGACTTTTACACTGTAGAAGATCATTTGAAGTATCAAAACCATTTTTTTTTTTCATTAGACAAGCCTTTTTTGTCAGTTCATGATTAAAACTATCACACCTCATGGTATAACTACAGTCGAACCTGCTTTAATGACCACCTGTCTACAAAGACCACATTTTTTGTTTCCCTTGAAAATTGTTTTTCATTGAAAAATGTACTAAAGGAACCTGTCTAGAAAGACCATTTTTGTTTTTCCCTTGGTAGGTCACTACAGAAGGGTTTGACTATACATGGCCTTCAAGGCAGTCAATATTATTTTGGTATTCGCTTCATTTGGTAATTTTTTTTATCATCATGCAGAGTATTGTCCCGCTACTACCAGGCCCAGCGACAGGCCGACATGAGGAACGCAGCCAGGACTACCATCCGTCTCCTGGAGAGCATGGTGCGGCTTGCTCAGGCTCACGCCAGGCTCATGTGCCAGACGGAGGTCAGGGTTCAAGATGCGGTGGTCGCAGTCAGCGTCATGGAGTCCTCCATGCAGGTGAGTTTGTTTATCCCATAACTTAATTTCTGATTGGTATTGGGCTCTTGTGAATGTGTAACAAAGTATTGGTTTGTAAGGTGTATTTAGAGTGCAGTATCCCACATTATGATATAAATATGATCGCAGTTCCCTCGGGGAGAACAATACAAATTGTGATGAATTGTTATTATTTTTCATGTAGCATAACATGTTTTATTATCATTCTGTGAATTGGTTTTTGTATGGGAGCTGAATGCCTGAAGGTCCTAGTAAAGGGATTCACCATTTCAGCACATGTCAAACGTTGTGCATATTATGTTAAATTTTTGTTTGTATGTTACATTATCTTGGTTATTTGATGAACACAAGAATTTAAAAATTGACATCTTATGGTTCAAGATATATCTTAAAATGGAATTTTATGATAATTGCATTTTTCATCTCAGGGAGCTGCTCTCCTAGGAGGGGTCAACGCACTTCATACATCCTTCCCTGATGACCCTGAGGATGAATATCATAAACAATGTAAGAGAAGATTCATTGCATTCTGGAAAGGTGCAGTCACACTGCAAGTACTCCTGGAAATTTGATCCCAATATTGTTCTGTTGTGTTAAGTTTGTGTTCACATTATATGGTTTGGGTTGCAATTGGGTTTTAGGCTCATAAAGTTCACAACTCATAAAGTGTGTGCTTTGAAATTGTTCAGTGTACATATAATAATGATAATCACATTTATATAGTGCTTCATAGTACATTTCTAAGTGTTTTCCATTGCAAATATTATTACCCTGATTATCAGTTTCAATTGCTGATCCCTACATGAAAGTGCACACGCTCCACTCTGTGGGGAGTAAACATGTTTAGAGGGTATAACTTATTACAGTGATTAAATTTTGTCTTACTTTGCAGCATCGTTGATTCTGTCTCACCTTGGCTTGGAGCATCTTCTGGACGAGGAGATGGAGAAGATGGAGAATCTAGCACGAGAGAGAATTCAATCAGAGGAGGAGGAGAAGGAGACGGAGAAGGAAGCCATTGCGAACGAAACCCTGAATCCATTTGACGATACCTTAGATACAACAGACAGGGATCCGATCCTCGACGGCAGTGGGGTGGAGGGTGAATCAAGGAGCATTGTTGTACCAGGCACGCAGGAGAGTCAGCAGGGGCGTGATAGATCTTTGACCAAGAGACTACAGTCAGAGACTAGGAAGTCTCGGACTGACATGGGTCAAAGGTCACAAGACGATGACAGTGTGGACAGAGTAAACGGAGGTAAAGAGGTTGGCACGCGGAAGAGTCTGGATGAACTACCTGGAAACAGCAGGACTGCTTCTACTGCTGAGACTGGGAGGTTTAGTCTTGGGGTGGATGAGGACGATGATGGGGATGTTGTCATGGCAACCATATCCAGCCAGAACAGTATGATGAATTCGAGCCGTGATGACAGTAGGAATCTTGAAAATGACAATAAAGAGAAAACTCAAGAAGACTCGGATGTTCAAATTGATGTGCCTTCAGTTAGAAAGAACCTGGGAGATGAAGGGAGAGACCAACAGAAAAGGAAGAGAAAACGAATGCTTTCAAATAGCAGTAGGGAAAGTTTACTTGTACATGAGGACAGAGGAGAGAAAAGAAAAAAAGTGAATGGCAGTAGAGTATCTAAAGATGGTGAAGGAAGCCTGCAAGGAAAGAAAAATGGATCGTCATCGTCATCGTCTTCATCATCAAGTAATAATGATTGTGGAAATTCCCTTGGAGTGGTATCGGAAGGCCATAGAATAAGCAGAAGTGATTCTCAAGATGAAGATGACTTCACTGACAATGGTAATGATTCTACCATGAACAGCACAAGTGCTTCGTTGGTGGACGGTTTCAGAAGCAGGTGTAGTGATAGGGGATGGGCAAGAACAAGTGAAGAAAAAAACAAGGCTTTGACAAAGAATCCTGTCAGAGCAATAGACAAGCCGAAAGAGAATTTTCCCACAGATTCAAGTCATAGAGAGGGACACAGAGAGGGACACAGAAGTGGCAAAACGAGGAAGTCTAGAATTGTTAATCCAGGGACAGATGATTCAAGTCTAGATCTTGATACATTTGAGGATGATAGTTGTAGTAAGCAGGGAGATGAGCACCGGAGGAGGAGAGCAAAACAGTCAGAACATGGCGATGGGCAGTCTGGACAAACTGCTCAGAAACCCTCCTCCCTCACAATACCTTTATCCAAAACAAAACAGAAAGAAAATGGTGACGAGCAGTCTAGAAAGGATGTTCAAAAATCCATGTCTATCTCGTCATCTTCATCCGTGTCGGACTCATCACCGCTTTCCTCTGGAGGGCGACGCCCCGCACTGACAACGATCAACAAACTCAAGAGCTTTACGTTCTCCCCACCGCCTGCTAAACCTGACAAAGAAGTGTCCAAACCCAGCGCCTCTACGGACAAGGCTCCAAGGAAACCTGGTAGTGACAGTGATGCTAACAAGGACAAAGCTGGTGTCCAGAACTCGGGAGTGATAGGCAAAGCAAATGCTGCCTCTAGGACTGACAGGTCGAAACTCAACAGTCATGCCCCTGGAACCTTCTTCACCACTGGGGATGATATAGAATCATTCGAGTTTGATTTGGATACATCTCTTTAGATGAAGCCATGTTTGAGAAATCTATGATGTCTGTAGTCACGCCTGAGGAAACTTTTAGGGAAAGACAAGGGAGGGACATAGTCCTCCTTTTACATGTACATGTATATAGCCCCTTCGCTTTAGGTGGCAATTCCTGTGTCCAATATTAAAATACTAAAAGATTAGAATAGAAAAACTATTTAATAACAATGATGATAATAATACACTATGCTCATATATAGCCGATATCACAAATATGTCCCCATGTGCTGTAATGGAGAGAAGGAAATAAAAATAAACATATTGAGAAGAGTGATATATGCTCAGCATACTTCCTTTAGTCATCAGTTTACACTGAAAATTATTTTTTTTAAAGAAATGTTTTAAGACCTTTTTTAAGATGTCAATAGTATCATACATTTTGATATATTTTGGCAATTTATTCCAAAGCTCTGCTGATGCAAACTGTCAAGAGCATGACCAATTATTTGAGGGATAGTAAGGAGAAACTTTTGGGAAGACCTTTCTGAAAGTTTCCGTTTGGTACGTATTGGGTAAGCAGTTCAATCAAATACATACGACTGATACGAGCCAATCATTTGCATTTGCAGGCACTTGAAGGTTTTAATATTGTAAGCGTTAATGTTTGGCTCTGCAAATTTCGTCTTCCTTACATGAAATCTAAAATTAGCTAATGCTTTGACATTTAGAACCATAAAGCTGTACTTTTTAAAAGACAAAACAATAAAGATAATAAAATAAGAAGAACCGTAATTAACCCATTAAAACAAGTCCAACATGCATTCCAATAAACCTGTTGGAAAATTGTAAAATGAAATACAAATCATGTCCAATATAAGGTTAAACATTTAAATTATTTTGTAAAATCATAGCTGGAATATGGATATAAACTTTTGTATAAACTGAAAGAAGATTTGCTTTCCTTGTATGGAAAAAATTTACTGCACAGTTTACTCTGAGCTAACTGTCTTCTCTTTATTTTATTGGTTTTGTATAAAAGAGATGTATTTATATATGTACATTGTATATTGCAAGAGAACAATGATATTACACAGATTACATTCCTGTCTCATTGGTGTTACGATATACGATATCCGATATATCCGGTATCCGTGGTAGTTCAATAAACATGGTCACCATCATCACAAACCTGACTGCCGACTCGTCTATTATCATGAGTATCTACCAAATCTAAGACCCTCGAACTCATCATGGTGGCAGCTGCTGGGATCTTCGAAATCAAGTTTGATTTTTGAAGACACAATTGATCCAGTTCACGACAGTTGGGAAGTATAATTAGCAAAATTATCGTCGATTAGCGATTTGTCACGTCGCACTTTTTCGTATGCATAGTACGTGCATCGTACATACCGCACAGTGTACCGAGACACTGATGCTACTGCATAATCCCGATGAACTCGTACGTGAATGGTGATGTGTGTATGAGCATATAAAGGTTCATAAAGCCTGCTCAGAATAGCCTAATCAAGTTATAACTGTGCTCAATCACTGACACAGGGGTCTGCATAATAACTTAACTAGTAAAGTTTAAATCTAAAATTAAACTAAATCAGAGGTGTGAACATTAAACCTGTTTTCAGATAATATTAACAATAATATCTGGTGTGTGAGGAATTGTCACTGTCGGACATATTGAGTGAGAGTGATCAACATTTTCATTGCATGAGACACCTAATGACATTCACACAGGTGTGAGAGCGTACACAGGTTTACGTGTACGAACCTTATCAACACCAGCCGGTTAGGACCTGTTCACACTAAGATAAACAACACAAAGATTTACACTCATTCATATAATCTGTCGTAACCAATACGCACACGTGACATATACAATGAGTACTAAGTATCCAGAGATGAACTGGGAGGTACCAGACCTACCCGAAGAGTTCAAGCTATTTAAGCAGAGAATGGAGCTTGTGTTGGCAGATCAAGAAATAACTGAAAACAAAAAAAAGGCTATAAAAATAAAAATCGCTGTAGGCAACGAAGGTTTGCGCCGCATCAATGCGTCTGGGCTATCAGAGGCCGACCAAGAAAAACCACAAGAACTGTGGAAATTATTTGAGAAACAAATAAAGGTAAACATTAATTTTCGGGTCCATCGTCTCGAGCTGATGCGATATCGGCAGAGACAAGATGAGAGCATTGACGCATTCGTTACTCGATGTAGAGACAAAGCCAACACATGCGATTTTGAGGAATCCGAGCTTGCCGAGCGGATAATGGAGGTAGTCATCACCTCAACACCAAGTCTAGAATTCCAGAAATTCCTATTGGACCAGCCTAAAGGATATCAAATCGATGCAATTCTAGTAGAGGGCCGAAAATACGAGGCAGTTGCGGCGAGCAGAAAATGCCTAGAAACGCTTGAGCCGGCTAAAGAAAGCATAGATTCGTTCAAGCGGAACCAGGGACGAAAGACGTGTGGAAACTGTGGACGTATCCACAAACCTCGTCAGTGCCCTGCGTACAACGATGTGTGTCGTGCCTGTGACACAAAGGGCCATTGGGCCAAGTTCTGTAGAAAGGCTAAGAACGATCGTAGTCGAAAACCAGATCGTAGATCAGATGACCATAAATCTGATGACCGTAAACCGAAACACGGTAACCAATCACGATCAAAATCAAAGGGTCGAAAGTATAAACCGATTAGTGAAATGGATACTGAACATGATACTAGCACAGATCATGAACATCAACAATCAGCAGGTCCATCAAACTTCGAACATTTTGACACCATACACACGATCGGAACACACACAGTGATCAACTCAAAGGGTACAGTAGCTTTTGCAAACATTGACATCATATGCCCACAGAAATCAGGTCAGCATTACCTATATCTGAAGATAGACTCTGGGGCAAGCGCTAATACTATCACAGTACGCACAGCCAAACAAATATATGGTGACAAGTGGAGGCAAGTAGTGAAACGTACACCAGTAAAGCTAGTAGCATATGGCGAAATATCAATACCATGCGTTGGTACACTAGACATAAAGTGTAGATACAAGAGTCCAGAATGGTATACACATACATTCTACGTAGCAGACGTGAATGGACCAGCTATCTTAGGGTTGTTAGGTTGCACAGATCTCGGGATTATCACAATCCATACAATGCACAAGGACACACCTACACATACACCTATCACAAGTGTTAGTGACCTCAAACAAAAATACCCAGATCAGTTTGATGCCATAGGAAGCTTTAGCGGGAAAGCAATGCTGCATCTGAAAGATGATGCAGAGCCCACCATAGATGCACCTAGAAAGTGCAGTGTCCATCTGAAGGACAAGATCAAAGCCGAACTAGATAACATGGAGAAGCAAGGAGTCATCAAAAAGATAGAACACCACACAGATTGGTGTAGCTCGATGACCACCGTTGTGAAGAAAGATGGATCCATACGGATATGTCTTGACCCCAGAAGGTTGAATGATGCCTTGAAAAGGTGTCCACACAAAATTCCAACCTTGGAAGAAATCCAACCAATCTTCGCAGGAGCTCAATTCTTCTCCAAGCTAGACGCAAAGGCTGGATACTGGTCAGTACACCTAGCAGAGGAATGCCAAGACCTGACCACCTTCAGAACACCATTTGGAAGATATTGTTTCCAAAGATTACCCTTCGGCTTATGCACAAGCCAAGACATCTTCCAGCAACACATGGATAGGATCGTCCAGAATGTGCCTGGCTGCGTATGTATCGCAGACGACATTGCCATTGTCGGGAAAACAGAGGAGGAACACGACAAGAATCTCCACCTACTCATGGAGACAGCGAAACAGGAAGGACTCGTGTTCAACAGCTCCAAGTGTACTATCAAGAAGGAAGCTATCAGCTACTTTGGATCCATGTACACAAGATCTGGAATCTTCCCAGATCCAAGCAAGGTTGAAGCTATCAACACAATGCCTTCACCCAAGGACAAGGAAGATGTTCAGAGATGCCTAGGATTATTCACATACCTAGCACCATACATTCCTAATCTATCAGAGAAGTCAGCACCACTTCGTGAACTCCTTCACAAGGAAATTCCATTTGTCTGGGACGAGGATCACGAACATGCCTTAAACAGCCTGAAAAGCGCAGTCTCATCGGGAGCATGCCTGCAGTTCTTTGACCCAAAGAAAGAGACAACCGTTGAGGTAGATGCATCAATGAAAGGGCTGGGAGCATGCCTGCTCCAAGATGGCAAACCCGTAGCTTTTGCATCCAAAAGTCTCTCCAATGCACAGTCCAACTACTCGAACATAGAGAGGGAAACCTTAGCCCTAGTGTTTGGTATCGCCCGATTCCATACATACCTATTCGGGAAGGAATTCACTGTGATAACAGATCACAGGCCTTTGGAGACAATTTGGAAGAAACCTCTAAGAAGCGCACCACCTCGTCTACAGAGACTATTGATCAAGGTACAAGGATACAGATGCCAAGTCAAGTACCGACCTGGGAAAGAAATGATTCTTTCAGATACCTTGAGCCGTCTTCCTAACCCCAAGGAAGCACGCGATGTTCCACTAGACATCAGAGTGGAATCAATCTGCTCCGAAGTAGAAGACACTCATCAAATCGACTTGATCTTCTTCGGACAACACAAGAGAACAGAACTCCAGAGGGAAACATCCAATGACCCTGTTCTTAGGTCATTGTGGCAGACAGTCACTCAGGGTTGGCCTGAAACTCTTCAGGAGCTGCCGACATCCCTCAGGGAATTCTGGTCTTACAGAGATGAGATTGGAGTATCTCAAGGAGTACTCTTCAAAGGAAGCAGAGTCATCATACCGAAGACACTTCGAGAAGATATCCTCAGACAACTTCATCTTGGACACATGGGAATCGAGAGCACGAGACGACTAGCTCGTGAGACAGTGTTCTGGCCACACATCAACAAGGACATTGAACAGATCGTAAAGCAATGTGCTGCATGCCAGGAACACCAGGCAAGGCAACAGAAAGAGCCGTTGCTTCCCCATGATGTACCTTCAGCACCTTGGACTAGACTAGGAACAGATTTGTTCATGCTAAACAGACAAGACTATTTACTCGTCACTGACTATTACTCCAAGTATCCGATAGTCTACAAGCTGACTGACACATCAAGTGCTGCAGTAGCCAACGTGATGAGTGGAATCTTCAGTCTATTTGGTCCACCAGAGGAGATCGTATCCGACAACGGTCCACAATTTGTCGGGAAGCACTTCAAGGACATGTGCCGGAAGTGGTCGATCACCCATACAACCTCTTCACCTCACTATCCAAGATCCAACGGACTAGCTGAGAGAATGGTTCGTACCGTCAAGAATCTGTTGAAAAAGTGTTCACAGACTGGCCAAGACAGTCAACTGGCTATGTCACACCTAAGAGCAACACCCGTTGACAGTCACATGAGATCACCTGCAGAGATGTTGTTTGGAAGACCCATCAGAACAACACTGCCAAGTCATCATCTTTCAAGAGAATCTACCACCACTGATCATCTCTTGAATCGACAGAGTAAGATGAAAGAAACGCACGATCGACATGCGGGTCCAGATCTTCCACCACTCCACGTAGGACAACCAGTCAGAGCCCTACATCCCAAAGATCATACTTGGATACCAGCCAAAGTATCCAAAGTCTGCGACGAGCCTAGGTCGTATGAAGTATCAACACCTAACGGAGGAATCCTGAGACGAAACCGATCTCACCTGAGGGAGATTCCATCGTCAACCAACCCTACTCCAAAGCGTGTTAGGTTCGACGAAGACTACACTTCACCTACTCAAGCAGAAACACCACAACAGAATGGCAACAACCATCAGCCAACACCAGAACCTCAGAACATTCAATCTAAAGGACCAACATCAAACTCGCAAACCACAACAAGATATGGACGCAACATCCGTACACCAGCGAGATACATGTTTGAAGATTGAAACTGAACTCTTAAATTTCTTCAAAGAAGAGAGAAGATAAAGAAGAACACAGAAGACACTTAGTTTAATGTAGTCTAAGAAGTTTATTGTTCATATGTATGTATGTATAATCATTGTACAGTATTTTTGGTATGACAAGCATAATGTTTATAAGTCTAAACAGATGCTAGCCCAAACATGTTTCGTTTGGAAATTCATTTTATAAAGGAATCAAGTTATATCAAAACTATGTTCAATCTTGCAGATCAACTGTGAAGTTGAAAGTGGAACGATATAATTATATAGACAGTTAAATACTCATTCGTTAATACAATACAAAAGAAACGTATTGAAAACAAATCAAGATTTTATGTTATATAACCTGATTGGAAAAAGTTCATTAGGAAGCAAATAACCAAAACTTGCATACTACCAAAAGTATTGTTATCAAAGCAATATGTCATTAATCATCGATCAGTGATGTTCACTGATTCCCAATCTTTCCAGAGGAAGGGGGATGTTACGATATACGATATCCGATATATCCGGTATCCGTGGTAGTTCAATAAACATGGTCACCATCATCACAAACCTGACTGCCGACTCGTCTATTATCATGAGTATCTACCAAATCTAAGACCCTCGAACTCATCAATTGGTATTTTATTTCATCATCTCATCCTAATCTGACTCTTCATTTGTTTTGATTATTTAGCTTTGTCTATCTATCTGTCCACCCTTTAGTTTTGTTAGTTTAGTTTTTGCTTTGTCTTATACTTTGTTATGTATATCAAGTAACAGCATATACTTCTGATTGGTCACATCTGCACGCATATATGATTGGCTGTTGACTGCTACATCACAATGAAATCCCAATAAAAGACATTGCCTAGGAGAGAGTGAGAGAGTAATTGAGAGAGAGAGGGAGAGTGAGGGAGAGAGAGAGAAAGAGGGTGAGAGCTAGAAGGAGAGAGAGGGGGGGGGGGGGGGGGGGGGTGCAGGCAGCCAATGAAATAAAATGTGATCTTATCCCAATAGACCAAGAGTCAATAATAATCTCCTACATTAATGTGACTTCTAACTTCAATCCCGCACCAAACATTTCCTATAATAATCAAGCCTGCAGATCATTTCTTATTGATTGTCCCCTCAAAAGGACATTTCAGATCAGGCATTGCGAAATATTTTGAAATACCCATTTGGGTATTCCCCCTGGGTATTCCCATGTGCATTGTAAACCTTACGCGCCAAACCATAGCGTGCTAGTTTGCAAGCACAGACCGTTGTCAGTCTTGGTGTGTATAACAATGTCTGAATTAAAAGATTAGGCCGAATGCACGGGCTACTTTACAATTCGCTGCTCCTGACACTTATAATTATGCATTTCTCACTGGTAAATTTTTGAGTAGCCCTGGACTTTAGGGCTGAACAGGGGCGGATCCAGGGGGCTCCGGCCACCTCCCCTGGCCCCCCAAAAATAGGTTTAAAAAAAGGTTGGTAATAAACGTTATTTTTTTTTGTCGAAGGGGGAGGGGTGTTGAGTAAAAATAAACCCTTACCCTATCCCTAACCCCCCCCCCCCCCGCTTACTCGGCCGGTCGACTGAGTCGCCGCTAAATAATTTCTCACGACTTCGGCCCGGCTTCCTCGCCACCGGCTGGATCCGCCCCTGGGGCCAAAAGGGGGTCTTGGACTATTACTGGGCTAAACTTAGCCCGCTTTCTGCTCGGCAAACAAATTTACGAAAGCGAGCTAGCCCCACCTAAAATAATATAGTTGGCCCTGCAAAATCGCAGAGCTAACTCCCGCTCGTCTCAAGAATTTATCGAATTATGTTGAAGTACTTAACGACCTGGAGTCTGTGCATAAAGACTAACTGTGTGCAAAATATGGAACATATGTATGGTTGTGAGTTTATTTTCTACTGCAGCATATTCGATCGATCATAACAAAGACATATCACGCCTAAACAGACCTGAATGCCTATCGGATACATATGTATGTTACATATGTCAGGTTGCATATTATATTAGTATTCACAACGTGTAGACGAAGGACTGGAGGAGTATTACATTACCCTGTTGAACTTCGACACCTGGCGTGCTTTTCAGGCCTCCTTGTAAGATTTAGAAAGAGGCGATGGCAGAGGGTATCCGAGATGTTTCAACCATTTCCGACGATCATCGAAATGATTCTACTTGTGCCGAAGAGAACGGTCTCATGAGTTGGTTTAATCCCGTTGCGCTCTTCAAACTCTTCAGTACTTCTACTAGGTAAGTAGCTTCAGGGGATACATTGTGAAATATTGAGGGTTAGACAAACAGAACGTGAAAAAACGGTATTCATGAAGTCATAAACAATAAGATATCAGTAATAATAATGATGATAATGATAATGATAATAATGATTGAAGTAATAATGTTAATGATAATAATATCAATGATAACTATATTAAATAATGAGAATGATACTAATAGCATTAATGTATGGCAGTAGCGGAGCCGGGGGGGGGGGGGGGGGGGGGCGGGCCCGGGGGGCCCGCCCCCCCCCCCCCCTCCTGGGAAAAAAAAACGTGTAAAAACACGTTAATTTAACCTTTTTTGGAGATGCCCCCCCCCCCCCTGGCGCTCAAGGGGGAGGGGGTGCGTTTTTTTCAAATTTTCGATGGCCCCCCCCCAAAAAAAAAAAAAAAAAAAAAAAAAATAGTACTCCCTACCCGTTATTTTTTTCCTTCCTCAAAAGAAATACATATTTGTACATTATAGTGCCTTTTGAATATACTTATCATTCCGCCATTTATAGTTCTACAGCCATTGAGAATGAAAGAACGGACAACGGAGCTGTTTCAACGTCGGATGACCACGGATTACAGGAGGTAGGCTATGTATTAGACCATGCAAACAAGCTAGTATATATTATATTCGTAATACACTTATTAAATAAAATAATTGTTAGAGATCATAACTTCATTTTGAGGCCTTCAATTGCCCCTCTCTCAACCCCCTGCATACGCCGTTCCCACCCCCTCTTTCTCTCTCTCTCTCTCCCTCTCTCTCTCTCATTTTATGAGGTATTTTTCCGATATCGACCTAATTTTATATAGCTCAGAAGCCCGGCCCCCCCACTCAGAGGTCGGAATGACCGCATGCGTGTTGCCAAAATGTCCGGTAAAGGGGTACTTTTCGTGCGACAAAGTCCGGCCCGAGAATTGTAAAAAAAAGGGGTGTATTTGACTTTTCACCCGGAGATTTCTTTAAAAAGGGGGTGTTTTCTTTTTTTTCTCATCTCTTTGGACTCCTGAGAAATTATTCCGAATTTAGGGGGGTATATTGAACATTTTTCCTGATTTAGGGGGGTCTCCAAGGCAGGAAAAGCCCGCGAAAAGCCCGCGAAAGGGGGGTTCGGAAATGTTGGCAGTTCTCAGATAGGGGGTGCTTTCAAAAAGAGGGTACGAGCATATGCGTACCCTAAATAACACTGAGTGGGGGGGGGGGGGCCGGGCTCAGAAGAGTTATCGCAAAAACGACGTCGGCCAAAGTAGTTTTCCGACCATTTACTGAACTACTTATTATTATTCCCAACTTAGTTCATACATTGATGCGATGTCGGCCCGACGTCAACTTATAAAGATGTAATATTAGGTCAGAAAATTACTTTGGCCCATCAACGTCATGATTCTTACCATTTTCTGACAATTGGCATCAGCTTTGTGATGTCACAATTTGGTCGGATTTATGACGTCGGTGCGATGTCATTTTCCCGATTATTTACCGAAATACTCGGTTTTACTGGGTTTTCTTTTACATTGGCGCGATGTCGGCCCTGCGTCAGTATTTGAGATGTCATTATTTGGTCGGATTATGAACGTCGACCTAACGTAAATGTCCGATCGTTTTAATACCGACCTATACTTGATTCTATTCTAGTTGCTATTCTTCCATTCTGTAGTACCAATCATCACTTTAGATAAATAATTACATAATAAAAAAGATGATAATACTACTAATACAAAATATTTCAATTTGCGTTTTCGTGAATTTCTTCCATCTTAGATGACGAAGGCACTTCACCAGGTTAGAACGTGCTGGAGTCAATTGATCTTTGAGACGCCAAATGGCAAGGTCACCCTCAAGACCTCGCTCATGGAACAACTTCAACCTATGAGGCCAGATGACAAAACATATCGTAATGATCTTGAGTTAACGGGGATTACCCTTATCAATCTGAAGAACAGCTCCGATCCCCTTTTCCAGTCACTAGGTAATCTATTATATGAATTGTGGTTTATTAATTCAATTCAATTCAATTCAAAGTTTATTCAACACTCTTCATAAAAACATTTAAAACATACAAATACATAAAGGCATTATAAAAAAATAAGAAAGTGATAACAAATTACAATGGCAATTTATAAGAGCATTTGGGATAGGCAGAAAGGAGGGATTCCTTATATGAAAGCCTACCCCTAATATCACACATAAAGGGGAAAAAAGAAACAAAAACAAAAGAACAAAACAAAAAACAAAAGACATACTAAAACATACTATCATGTACGATCAGAGTAAAAAAAAAGTGTCAAACTTGCCCATGCTATTAATATTGATTATTATACTTATTTAACAGAAATTGTTTATATTAATTTTAAAAAGATTGAGAGTTTTGCTCCTTTTTTTGGTGCCCTACTGGCTCTATAACGAGTTGAGTAGCATTCCACCTGACTATTATCTTTAAAGGGAACATGCAGGTTTGAAATAAGGGGATGGCGACACAAAAAGACAAAAACCTGTTTGCTACCAATTTATATGTTGATATATTATCCGATTTTATGATCGAGAAGCCATGATTTTGCATAATATTGCATTTACCTTTTTCAACTGATTTATTACGTTAACTTTCAACACTTTATAATGGCACTGTATGTTTTCTCGTGCATTTTGATTTCGATATATTTGTTCTTTTTTGCGATGACAGACACAACATGACCAAAGAAAACAACAGTGACAAAATTAATTCAATGCTAAGATTAGTAACCCTCGACACCTTTATGACGTGCCATGTTTTCTCAAAGGAATCTACCTTTTCGTTTGTGCTTATTCCTTTTCTGATCGGCAATCAAATGACTATGTTATGGTTATGTACAGAACGGATGTTGTCAGAGGACCAGGAGTTTTTGACAGTGTTCGTGAAGGCTTTTCATGCAACGCTTGAATGGTCGATCACGGAGTCCGACATTAATCTCCTGTACGTCGAGGTACTACGGATATTGAATGAGGTTAGTTACCGTCATGGATTTCAATGTGTGCCATTACTATTATGGAATTCCAATTCATGATCATGGATAAAAAAAAAATCCTTGGTTGTTGAAACTAGTTGAAGTTTTAGGGGGGGGGGGGGTATCACGCTGCCCATGTTCCACTAACATTTCAATCCGATGCTTTGCTTCAGCTTTTGTTCAAAATCTGATTTTAAAAATAAATTAGTAGAATACGGTTCAACGAAGATGGTACTTTGCGAGAATATAGATAAAGTGAAGTTTGAGGATGGGGGGGGGGGGGGGGGGATCGTATTCGGGGTCTTAGCGTGGGCCTAGCTATTGAGGTGCCACTCGGATCATGGAATGGGTGGGGCGGTCTTACTGGGAAAATATAATGGGAAATAGCAATGGCGTCGAGTGATTCGAACGGTGCATAGGGTCCATCTACTCATACGTTTGCTTCAATCTCTCACTTTTTTCTCACTCATTCGCTTTTGCCTTCGCTTTTTTGTGCCATTTGGTTCGGGGAGCACGTGTCCATGGGCCACGCCACTATGACTATAGCTGTTACCAAGTTTTTTGCTTTTCCTTGTAATGGTTCAGAAGCTAGATGCAAAGAAGACAACATTGATAAAGACAGCTCAATTCTTCTACTGACGTATTTGCGTTAAACATTGTACTCTGAATTTATTTTGTAAAAAAATAGCTTCGCTTCATATTATTTTCTCCTCCTTTTTTTCAATTTCTTACAAGATCAATGAGAAAAATGGGTACCCGGTGTCTCGTCGCTTGTTCTGGCTCCAAGGCCTGGAATCTAGTCCACATTTACCGGTGACCTACACCAGTACGCCCGGAATACCACGTCCGGATCCAAGGTTAGAATCACTCCACTTTTTTTAAAGAGAAGCTTGACTACTGGTCAATGTCAAAAGTATGTGTTAGCTTTTTGTTGTTGTTTGGTTTAGGTTTGGGATAACATCACAAAAGAATATATACCCTGAAAAGGATTTTTCTTATCCTAAATATGACAAGTAGTAGCTATTAAAACAATATGGACCAACACAAATGTGTGCAGTCCCGTAATTTCCATTTCTGTGTGCAGAGGATGTGACATTCAGCGAGACTTGGTAAATTGTTCATATTTTGGCGTGTGCTATGTATTATATCCAGACCTTGTGTGTCCAGACAGGTTGTGCACACGCAATATTTCAAAAATCTTATGGTAGACAATATTATTAAGGACAAATATGTATGATGGTTAGAGCTAATTGATGCATTCATTTCGTTAAATCCAAAGGGAAAGTTAGCGGCTTTATTTTTGTTAAGCGTCCGGACACACAACCCCCTCATACCTACATGCACAAATTATATGCCACATTATCCACCTTTTCCGATTGCATCACAACGGGCCTTTTTCCACAGAGATAGTAGAAGATATGACTGTAATGTCGTATCACGTATAAATAAAAAGGTTTTAGCACGTTTAGTAAGTTTTTGCCGTTGCGTTGAACCTTCTGCTTTATACAAAGAGAGAGTGGTTTGCATTTTAATTTTATGCATTCTTTTAAAATAAATAGGCCTTCACGTTTGTTGACGTACCTTTTCTACTCAACGTCAGAACAAAATGGAAGTACGTGTCTCTTGAAGCTGGTCTGATCAAGGTGAGAGATTGTGCTTACTATACATTTCGGCAATTTGAGAATATCATACAAATTAAACATGCGACGAAAGTCAATTGTCGATCATTACAAGAATTTTTTTATATTTTTAATTTGCTTATACATATAGGTTTTCATTTTTTTTATATGCTAATATATTTTTTGTTGTTATGCTATGTTTCTTCCTTTTGTGATGGATTTGCTTTTATGAATATTTTCATGCTTTTAATTCGTTTTATCATTTGTGTTGTTTGTTTGTATTTGTTGTTTGTTTGTCTGTTTATCGTATGTTTACTTTTGTGGGTTTCGTTTGTGTGCTTGTGATACAGGACCGAGAAATGTTGAATTCAGAAGAGAACGCTATCAGGCGACATATCTATGAGACGATATGTGCCGGGGACAAGCTCAGTTACCCATCATTCCAACATATTATCTTCAGTTCCAAGTGGAGCGAGATAATATCGTGCAGTCGGCGCTGGAAAATGTCGAGAAATACTGGGACGATTCGGATTCAAACTCCGTCTGGCTCAAACCTTTGAAAGTAAACTTTGAAGGGGAGTATGCGATAGATGTTGGTGGCCCCAGTAAGGTAAACATGGACTTTTAGATTTGCACGTCGACATAGTGGACTGCTACGTGTGACGTCATTTTATGGACGTCACACGTGGCAGTCCACTATGTCGACGTGCAATTCTAAAAGTCCTTCATATAACATGAACACGGTGAACATTTAAGCCTCTTTCAGATATGATGCGGCAAAACCACGGCGGGTGTCTTTAGGATAACGTAAAGTGTAATACGTTTAAATTTTTTGTATTTTATATTATCACATAGATCAGTGAATACGCCCAAGTCTTTTGTTGCGCGCAGTTGCCATTCATGTACATTTATAACAACAACAACAAAAAAAAAAACCGCCGCGATTTTTATATTCGACTATTCACCGCGCCATATCTGAACAGGCCTTTAAGATTCTTTCAGATTAGTGTCGGTAAACCCCTGAAACAAAATAAATACGCCATGCAGGTTTCTTTCTAAAATGAACATGAATAGCAACTGCGCGCAACAAAGGTCCCACGTGAATGAGCAGTGTTATAAGACAGGAAATGTGAAGCGTACATACCACTTGGAATTATCACAAAGAAAATAAAAGAAGAAGAAAACAAAATAGGAAAGTTCGAAGCATGATTTGAAGTACTCCAGACTAAACATGTTGAAGAAAGAAAAATATAAAAGTAGAGCAAGGTATGGGTACCATATATCCATACCATGAACAAACGAAAGCATCTATGAAATAAAAAAAAATACCCCTGAATGCTGTTATTAAAGTATAAGGGCAAATAAAAGATCTTTTGACATTAATGTCTGATAGTACGTCACCATGTATTGTAGAGTTTTGAATATAAATTGACATAAAAATCTGTCTTTCCACTTTGGGACTGATGAAAGTTTTAATAGAATTAGCCCATAATTATTTAAACTGAATTACAATAATTATGCTTCGATTATATTTCTGCAGGAATTCTTTCATTGTCTGTTCTCCGCCTTGTTGGACCCAGACCTTCACATATTTCGGAAGATCGATGATCATGCTGTTTCTTCAAACGTGTGGTTCAACCCGGTATGGAAATTTAAAATATCTTACTTTTTTTCTCGATACCCTAACTAATGCTCCTGCGACGTTTGACTCAGGGCTCTATTTGGTCAGGGATATGGTGTTAGTCTTAAGGTTCCAATAAGCCACTTCCGAGTTTCTATCTGCGAATGGGCATTTGTACAAAAATCAAATACAAAAACATAACAACCCCCCCCCCTCCTCGCATAAAAACAAACAACACACAAACAGACGAATACTGGATATTTGCTCATGAAAGTAATCATTACTCATTTATTCATCAACGGTACATTCTATGGAAAACAGGGGGAGGTGTTTCTTTTCGAGACAAAACCAAAAGATATTCACGTAGCATCTTTATCACTTTGGCAGTGATTTTTCTAAAAATGTAAAAAGTGGGACTTCTCCATGTTGAAAGGACCTGTGGATAGTTGGGGTCAGTTGTAAAAATGCTATCTCAGAAGTTTCTTATCGCGTTATATTGTGTCAGGTATAGGACTGAAATTGTGTTTTAGGTTATGTTAAGGGTTGGGATTAAGGTTACGTTTAGTGTTTGGTGCTGATTGAAGTTCAGAGCTCGCTTAGTGTAAAAATGATGATCGCGGAGCAGTTGGCGCCGGAACACGTATTGTACACCGGGCTCGTACAACCCTTTTCCTGCATCTTAATTCTTGTAAGTATTCCTTACTCTAAGAAAGCATAGAATAAAACATAATAATATTACAGTCCAGTAATCAATAACAAAATAATCAAGGTATTTCTTTTTAAGAAGTCATTTCGCGATGCTCATTACATTTTATAGCGATACGATATTAGATTAAATATTAGATATACATAACTAAGTCGGATGTTATTCATTTGCAGTTTTGTTTACATCCAATGCATATATAGTTGAATTCAACTGTAACTTATAGAACAGCTCATAATAATTATGAGTATATAGAACTACTAGATATACTCACAGCGGATACAACATTGCAGCTAGAAAGGAGACTCTCTCTAAATTTCAGAAACGTTCTTCGTCTTCTTCGTTTTCTTCTTCTTCTTCTTCTTCTTCTTATTTTTCTTCTCCTCCTCATCCTTCTCTTTCTAATTCTTCCTCTCCTCTTCTACTTTTCCTCTTGTTCTTCTTTCTTCCTCTTTTTTCTTTCTTCTTTTCCTTCTCCCTCTTCTTCTTCTTTCTCTTCTTCTTTTTGTTCTTCTTCTTTTTTTTCCTTCTTGTTTTTCTTCTTCTCCTACCTCTTCTTCATTCGTGTCCACTAAAATTTGTTTCACAATTAATCCACTGGTTTAAATAGAATTTGTCATCGTTGTATTCTTGCAGGAGTATCTGGATTATAGCACCTTGGAGAAGATCGGTCTCCTCTTTGCTCTCTTAATCTTCAACGAAGCTGTTACTACCGTGCCTTTCCCTGAGCAGCTCTACGAGAAGCTGCTTTCAAACAGGTATGAACCGGTCGCAGACAGATGAAACTGGATAAATCCGGATGATACTCTCTAAAACAAATTTTTACCAAATTTGGGGACACATTTTCCCTAATATTGGGTTAGCTTTTACTTAAAAAAACATTTACAACAAAAATGAAAGAACAAATATAACATAATAACTTCGATCTTACTTTTGCACCCTATATTTTACAATGAAATAATTAATCTCTCGATAGAGACCCTGAAGCTATTGATCTAGAGAAAATGGACCAAGGGTTTGTTAAACAGCTTCGTGAAATAGAGGCGGAGAACGTGGAAGCCCTGGATTTGGACTTCGAAGAACTCCGGCCAGGGGACGAGAATGTCCCCGTCACGAAGGAGAATTTGTAAGTCCGAGATTTAAAGTGATTCCGAAATTGTAATACCTCGAAGGTTCATAATTCATAAGGTTGGTAATTCCGAAAATGGAATAGGGTTTATATATAATTCCCAAGCTTCATAAATAAAATATAGAACAATGTATCGCTTTTTTCACGGAACAATGAACCTTTGAAACAACGAACATTCCGAATAGCCGTACGCTAAAAAATGTAAGGAATTATCAGAGAAGCACCTACCTCCCTGGAATTATGAGCCTCCTTGTATGGTGAAAAATTTGTGCTTAGGAATGATAAATCTCTTAGGAATTGTTAACCTATAGGTATAACGAACCTTTATTAAAAAAAACAACGAGTGCTTCTCGATTAAAACGTGGGTGATCCTCCATATTTTCCAGTAACAAGTTTGGGGTTAGGGTTGCAATTAGATTTGTTATGTTATATTGAAGGTTAGCCAAGTCTTTGGTAGAGAGTTGAAGTTATGAATACTATTACGAATCAGTAGAATACTGACAGCTGTCTAGAACAATTGTCATACTAGTAGAGCATGCATCACACAATCTGATGTCCATGCATTGTTTATGTTCTTGCTGATGACAAAAATCAAAATTTACTAGGTATACTGAGTCGAATTCAGGGGGTCCTTTAGTAGTTGTAATATTTCTATATGCCCTATCCCATGTTTTGGACGGTATGTCAAAAGCGAAAACGTTATGAATGGCACTTTTGCCGGATTGTATATATTCATTTCGTTTTTCGGTGTAATAGGGAACTGTACATCAAGGAAAAGATGACCAAGCGGTTAGCCATTCCTCAGCTTGCGGCCTTTACCAAAGGATTCAACAGACTAGCCTCCATGACACCTCTCATGAAGACTATCTTCAAAGCAGAAGATCTGAGAGACGTCATCCTGGGTGAAGAATTGGACTGGAACGCTTTCAGATTGGTAAGACTTTGCAATGGTTGTTTTTTAAAGCGACGGCTGAGTTCCTGTAAAGATGAAAAGTTATTTGTGAGTTTTCTCAATCCTCTTTGGCATTTTTGTAAGAATGTCGTAGTAGAAATATCCCCTAAACAAAGACAGGATTGCTCTTTAAATGCCCTCATATTGATGATGGGAATTTACCATCCCCGTGCTACTTGTAACTACGCTATTATTATATGGGACAGCAAGTAAACGTTTCATGTATGTACCCCATTACCTTGCAGGTTGTTCGGTACCTATTGTTACTCATACCCGTATACCGGTACATATTTGATTAATAAATATGGTAAACCGGTACCTACCATCATATACAGTAGTAAATACGTTTTATGTACTTGTACCCATTACGTTTCCGAATTTCCGGTCAACTATCAGTTGACACCGATATAAGGTACCTATTTTCATACCGACAACTAAACGTTTCATGTACTTATCGATTACCCTGCAGAGTGTCTATTACTTAGATCCCTACTGCGAGGACCACAAGGTCATCAAGATGTTCTGGAAGGTGTTTGATGAATTTGAGGAAAACGACAAGAGACAATTCCTCAGTAAGAAATACGGAAAACAAAGCGTCTAACCAGGGATACTCACATATCCCTGGTCTAACTGTATATCTCTCTCTCTCCCTCAATTTCTCTAGATACATAATTCCTTTCTCCGTCAGACCCATGTCTCTCTCTCTCTCTCTCTCTATCTACCTCTATCTCTGTCTATTCTCCCTCCTGATATCTTGAAACTCATAAGTTAACTTAAGATGTCATAAATACATGCAAACCTGCCTTTATAATAATCATATGTATAGAAACACCACCTGCCTACTGGGACCACTTTTTTAATTTCACTTGAATAGTGTTTCTCATTGAAAAATGTACTAAAAGAACCTGTACATAAAGACCACTTTTATAGTCACCCTTGAGATGTCTTTACATACAAGTTTCACTGTAGTATACTTTCATATTGTTAAAGTAGTTGATTAAGCTTCATGTAAACCCTTGATATTATTTGCTTCTTTCAGAGTTCTTGACATGTGCTGACCATGTTCCTGTTGGTGGCTTTGTTCGCTTCCCTGTGAGACGATTGGACAACAAAGCTGACAAATACCTAGATCCTGACGAGCCCAACAAGTACCCGGAACCCGGTAATCTAATGCCAGAGGTGATGACCTGCAAAGATTTTCTGTCCATGGATCTACCAGAGTACGAGACCGAAGAGGATTTACGTTTTCGGCTTAAGATGGCCATTGAGACCAGGGGGTTTCACTTGGAGGTCGAGGCACCACCTTGTGTCTCTGCGACGGCGCCTTTTCCCGAACCATCAATATTGCAGCAGGCCGTACAAGGCGTCGTGCAGCTTCTGTTCGGTGGAAGACGCTAGTCCTAGGTGCTGGATTTGTGCTTTTTTTCCCCTCCAAAACACACACGAGAAAAAAAATTGAGGGGGATTTGACCCCCCCCCCCCCCCCCCCCCCCCCCCCCCCCCCGCGTACGCGCCTGGTCTATGATATGGTGTAATATTGAAGCCCTAATAGAAATTGCGCTTCAAAATGGTCATAAAGTGCCTACAAAAAGAAAAGTAAAACTCTTTAAGTGACCTGTTTTACCATTCTCATTTTTCCCCTTTAGACTGTAGTGTTATAAAACCGTTGCGAAAACGGTATTTGAAATTTCTAATTTCTAATCATAGATATCTGATAAACACAAAGGCGATTTGGTTGTAAGCGTCATGGGAAGTTCCTGACTGACCTAAAGGTTTGTAATTATAATTGCTGCATGAGCTAAATCAAGGATTTTGAAAAAGAATCTTAGACAAAGATATCCAATCCCTTTCAAAAGATAAATCTGCATCTTGTGAACTTAATCGAGCAAATTATTCCTATACAGATATCTTCAATTTAAATAGGAATATGTTATCTTCCTTTAAAAAACCTTTAGAAAGTTCTGAAGACTTAACTTTTCTTTGTTATATCTATAATACATGACATGACATTGGTAACAGGTATTATTGTAAAGCGCTAAACAAACTAATTCTCTATTATTATGTGATTTAATTTAATGATTACTATCAATTTCAATTAATATATTTTGTTCTCAATAGCCTGGCTTCGTTCACAGATTCTCAGTACTCCTTCCTATTATTACTATTAAATGTTCTTAAGATCTTTGTTCTTTTTCTTTCGTCTTGCTAATAAAGAATGAGTATGTATGTTTTATCGAATGATAACAATCCACACACTTTTCATGAATTAAGAATACTGTACCGCATTTCTAAAATAGGAACATAAAATGGAATTATCCACGGTTGATAAATGAGGAAACAACAAACCGTTTAAATTATGCATTTTTCGTGGCATTTATTTAACAGTAGATTCTGTCATTTGTACATGTATCATTAACATGGCGGTACATGAGTTTACGCCAATATTATAATTACAATATACACAGATTTGAGTATCCAACCCAGTGTATTAATATATTCTGATAATATCTGATTATTTGCCAATTTTTTCAATATGTAATAATGAAATTACAATGAAAATTCAGCTAAATCAAAAATGTACCCGGTACATAAAAGAAACACCCCGAAATATTGAATCGTTTAAAAGTGATCAGCAACGGAAAAATGGACGTTTTTAATGAATCAAGTGCAGATATAGCATACGAACTTTTTAATACGAAATTGCAGATATATTATGACAAACATTTTCCTCAAGTGTCTGCGAACAAGAAAATAAGCGCTGTAAAATGCCATGGATAACAAAAGCAATTCTAAAATCGATACACACGAGGAATAAAACTGCACAAGGCTTATCTAACGGACTCAACTATTCATAACAAAAACAAATATAAAACATACCGAAATAAATTAACTAACACCATTCGAAACTCTCGTAAAATTTACTATTCCGACAAACCTAATAGAGTGAAATCAAATATGAAATCAACATGGGGGATTATTAATGATTTGATTTAAAAAAAACTAAACAATTGCCCAATGATAATTTTACAATAGATGATACCGTTATAAAGTCTGAAGATGTAGCCGATACCTTTAATTCCTATTTTGTAAACATAGGACCTAATTTAGCAAATAAACTTAATACACCTGAACCTTCAAATTCATTACTGTTTTTAATCCCACTGATCCTATAATGAAATAACCGAAATAACAAAAAATCTAAAATTAAGTAAATCACAGGGTCACGATAGAATTAGTACAACCTTACTTCCCTTCTTAAACACGTCATACACTTTATCACATTTTAAAGCTATCAATTGATACCGGGAAATGTCCCGAGTCATTGGAAATTGCTAAGGTAAATTCTGTTTTTCAAAAAGACAATCCTCACGAAATTAGCCATTACAGGCCTATTGCTATTCTTCTCAGCATATCCAAAATCTTAGAAAATATTATTTACAATATAGGCTTTATAAGTTCTTAAATGCTTTTCATTTCCTAAATCTAAATCAATATGGTTTCAGAAAAGGACATTCAACTGACCAAGCTTTAGTACAATTATATGATAAAATAACGAATGCTATGGCCAATAAAGAACATTTAATAGGAGCCTTTGATACACTGGACCACCACATTTTACTGAAAAACCTTACTGTTACGGGAGTTGCACTGTCATGGTTTGAGAGCTATGTATCTAACAGAAACAATATGTAATGTATAATGATATTTTGTATAGTTTCCTGCCTATCAAATGTGGAGTTTCTCAAGGATCAATTCTAGGCCCTTTGCTTTTTCTATTATATATTAATGATTTGACCAATACAACACCTTTATTATCATTTGTCCTATTTGCTGATGACACGAATATCTGCTGTTCACATCCTAATTTAAACACTTTAGTAAATACACTTAATAATGAGTTACCAAAATTATCTCTATGGTTTCAATGCTATAAGTTATCCCTTAAGATAAATAAAACAAATTTCATGTATTTCAAGCACGCGACTTCTCATGTCATTGACTTTCCTTACAACATAATTATAGATAATGTCCCTCTCTAAAGAAAGAGAACAACAAATTTTTGGGGTGTCATTATCGATGAAAATCTAAACTTGAATGAACATATACGTCACATCACTACTTCTATCTCTAGGAACGTTGGTTTATTATATAAAATGAGGAAATATGTTATGCTTTATAATTCATTGATATAACCGTATATAACATATTACAATTTAGTATGAGCCACCGGCGCCAAAACTAAAATCAACTCTATTTATTTATTGCAAAAGAAAGCCCCTCGTATATGTACTGGTTCACCATATTTATTTCACACAAGTCCAATATTTTACAAACTGAAAACCCTAACAATATTCGACATAAATTCGCTACAAAGTTTACTGATCATGTTTAAGTATTTAAATAATATGCTCCCTCTTTCACTTCAAAACGTTTACACTATGAATAAAGCTATTCACTCGTACCCTACCCGTAATTCCTCAAATTTTCATCTTGTAAAACCAAAATTACTTATTGCCCATAGATCTATAAGACATCATGGAACTCTCTCCCAGAATCTATTAAATCATGTTGCACTCTCTACTCATTTAAGGCCAAAGTTAAAACGATGTTATTATCAGAATACTCAATGTAGAATTTCGGTGTCAACTCTTCATTCTTTATCATGTCATCTCTTCTTTCATTCGAATCATTATCACCATCGTCATCATCATCATCATCTTCATCATCATCATCATCATCATCATCATCATCATCCTCATCTGCATCACCATCATCGAAATTTGTATATTCAATTACCTATCCGTTTCTGCTTAATAAATGTGTTCATAAATTTCGTGAGTTTTTGTCTGGGGCTGTCGTAATATCAAGCAATCTGCTTACAATGACAGTCCTTCTTCCGCAAATAATTTTATAATGTGTTATAATGTTTGAAGAAATTTAGTATTTGTGACAGTTTATCATTTCGTTTTTAAAAAATAACAGTTTATATATATATATATATATATATATATATATATATATATATATATGTATTTGCTAATTTATGATTCATTGTCAGTAAAATACTTATTGTACTTTATATTTTGTTATCGAAAAACTGTAAACTTACATGAATGCAGAAGAAAATAAAATCACTGATTTGATTTCCTTCTGCATTGAAATCAAATCAAAATCAAAATACAGAACTCGTGCTGGAATCTAAGCTGACAAATGAGGAATCATGTGAATAAATGTAATCTGCACAAAGAAGACGAAAGACCTGATGCATGGGCATGGCTGATCTTCAACAAAACGGAGTTAAGTCTTTTGTCAACTATGTTTGTTGCTACAGCAGGGAGCCAGTGAAAACGAACTCGTTTGATCAAATTATGGAAATGCAAGCATTTTTTTAAAACAATCATAGCTTGGTTATTCCCGGCTCATTTATCCTGATTGAGGTGTCATATGAAAGGGCAGACATTGAACTTTCTAGAAATATGATTTTCCCCCTGAAATTCAGATACCGCCTACCAAATGACTGTTTGGTTTCCTCTCTTCAAATTGCTTTTAATCACTCATGCGTGAAATATCATATAAGTTGAATCAAATGAAAGAAGAGGATCTAAGCTTTCCAAATATGTGTCATTTATCAATTTTAACTGTAATTAAGTTATGATAAAACATCAATAGTTCTCGGTTTCGTTTTTTCTGGGACGCACTGTTTATATACTTAACGATCCGTGTTCATAAATACATTAAAAACTAGGGAGTTTTAAAGTAATACATAAGTATCATATTAGTTTCTCACCCACGATCCAGTAGCGATCCCGTACATGTCTAAACTCACAACTACCTTCTCGGTTCTGCGGCCAATTCCAACGTGTTTCAGATATAAATAAGTATGGTACCAGATCATCTGAAGAAATCTGTATTCCTAAACACCATGAACGGTCCTAAGCTTTGGGACGATTTACCTGAACCTATGAGGAAATCTGTATCTCTGTTAAGCTTCTCGCTTAAAAATGTATCATTTTAAATTACAGTGCATAAGTATTAGTCCTATACCCGATTAGGTTGACGAGTGTATATGTATATTGTATAAGGGGATGTTTATGGGTGTATAAGTATATATTATATATATATATATATATATATATATATATATATATATATATGTGTGTGTGTGTATGCATGTGTAAAATTATGTAAACATACATGTATGTATGTATAGGCCTATGTTGTATAAATGCATGTTCTTGTAACTAAGTAAATATATATGTATATATATATATATATATATATGCAGTCAAATATTTCAACATTATACCCTTCACCTATATCTTGCCATTGTGTTGTTTATGCATGCCATACACTCCATTGCTACTATGTTGCAGTCCTCTTCTTTTCTCTTTCTCCAAGCTCTCTATCCTCCTCTCCTCTTTGCCTATCCGTTTCTTACTTTTTCCTTTCTTCT